GCCTGCTGGGTAACACATATTACGCTCTCTTTTACCAAGGTCACCATTATATCTTAATGGAGGAGCCATGAATGACCCCACAATTATCTAGCTTCAAGAACCGAAGATAAATAAGTAAGGTAAAAAACTGATATCAGTAAACATGTAATCAATACCTTATGCATCACAGGACCATTTCATTTTGAATGGGCTGCCAAGGCACCATAATGCAGGTTTTAATCCCCTATGCTGTTATAACTACCAACTAATAATAGCCAATTATATTTGTGCATTTAGAAACACAACTTATTTTTAATCCACTGAGCTGGCTAGAACTAGCTCCAAAATGTTTTTGTTTTTTTTTTTACAGATCTTACTGCAAAGAAGCCATTCCATATGCAGAGATAAAACCTCTTTCCCTCCCGACACAAAATGTTCCCCCTCGTCCTTTACAATTACCTTAAATTGAACTACTTTGAACCAAGTTCACTATATGAACTGGACCGTGCTGGAAATGGTTTGACTGGGCCCTTAGCAGCGGTATTATACTAACGATTGTGACAACTTCAGACTGGCTGTTAGGAAGCCAGCAGCTGCTAGAGTTCTAACAACCCATGTGTCACCCCTGCCCTGCCCATATGTGCCACTTCACAGGCAGATTGAGGACATCCCCAAAGCATAGTATTTCACGGAAATATGCATTTTTTCATTGCCTTTTAAGCATCATTAAAATCACAGATTTCAGCAAAACTGTCTTCAAGGGGTACTACCTTGCTACCCCATGCACTTGGTTTGTCAATCCCTTGCCTATTAGTCTAGAAAATAGAGATACACAACACATTGCATTGTAATTGGGTACCATGCGATGTGGTGAGGATACAACACATATGAAATTAAAAGATGCGTAGCCATTAAGAAATAATGGCACTACATTGCACCTAATATTGCAATATGGGATGAAGGATTGTGTGCACACCCTTCCACATTGCATTAATGTGATCGGAGGCGAATGGTAATCATATACCCCCTTAAACGGCTCTTCTTAAGGAATAACAAATTCTGTTCAGTTAGCCTTTCTTCATAGCTGATGTCCTTCATGCCTTTTATTAGTTTAGTTGCTCTTCTCTGCACTCTCTCCGGCTCCAAGACAACATCTTTTTTGTGAACTGGTGGCCAAAACTGAACTTCATATGCCAAATGAGGTCTTACTAATGCTTTGTACAGAGAAATTTTAGGCTTCTCGCTCTCTATACCTCTTAATACAAGAAAGTATCTTGCGCGCTTTAAAAACTGCAGCTTGGCATTGCATGCTGTTATTTAAGTGAACCCGGCAAAGATCATGCACACTCAAGTAGTTACATGAACAAGCAGTAAAGGCACTTTAGGGGGGGCGTGGCCTGGCTGCTGACATGGATGGACGCTGATCAAAGCATCTCCGGTCCTCCATCTCTCCTACACCTATCCTGACTGCTCACTCCCGCTCCATTTCTTCACCTGGCTGGTCAGAATCCTCTTCTCTGCCTTCCATCCACAGAGATGGGGAAAATAGGGTACCAGAAGGGTCCGTCTCCTGCTGAGAAGCTGGCACGCTTCCACAGGTCGCAAGATGGCGGCGGTGACCAATGCCGCTTCTCCTCCTCCACACTCGTCCTCTAGCCGCACGGAACATCCGGACACTGCTCGCTCCTGTGAACGCAAGATGATCTTGCAGGGGAAGTCTGGGAACTATGGCACCCCACATAGTTGCTCTTTAGAATCCTCTCAAGCGAAGTCCCCTGATTTGGTGGAGAGGGATGGGGTCGCGCCTGAGGATTCGCCCATAAATGCGGAGCCTATTCTCCTACAATTAACGGAGGCAATATAGGACTGTAAAACGTCCCGTGCTACGCAAATTGAAGGGGTACATGTTGATCTCTCTCTGCTGAAACATGATGTACAAGGTCATTGGTCCTTGATATTCCATTACAAGCATCGACCTCATGTAGTGTGTCTCCAAGAAACTCATCTGATGGGCTCTAATATATTGGCTCTGAAAAAACACTGGGTGGCCTTCTATGGGGTCTCTCTGACATTGGCTTCTATTCCTCTTGCAGCATTAGATATGTCCTCGGCTCCCTTGCTGCTATTAGGGGATTAGGGGGACTTTAATTCAGTGCCTGATCCTCTTTTGGACCGCTTGGGAGAAGGGGGGTGCCCTGCCTTCTCTGATTGGATCAATAGTTTTGTGCTTATTGATGTGTGGCGCTGGAAATGTCCAGATTCTGCTACACATAAAACCCTTTCTAGGATTGATTTAGCGTGTTACCCCTACTGTTCTTCCCTGGTTACGTGATATAAGTTACCTTCCAAGGGGAATCTCAGGTCACACTACTTTGTCGGTTGAACTCTGCTGGAGCAATTCCTTTTTCCACCAGTGTGTGGAGAATGAACTCTGCCTGGCTGTCTGACTCATCGGTAGACGCCTGCGCACAAGCTATTGGTCACTATTGGAATGATAATGCCTCTGTTCCTTACTCCTCCCTTAAGTGGGAAGTCTTTAAGCCCACGCTTAGGGGGTCATTTATGGCCGCCACAGGTGCTGCCCGCAGACTTAAGGAGGTATCCACCGTGGCCCTGGAACGAGCTGTGGGCGTGGCTTGAAGCTGCCTATGTTTCTGACCCTTCTACCATAGCCTAATAGAGTATGGATGGAAAAAAAAGGGTGTATGATTTATCCCTCTTGGAAGGTACAAGAAAGAATGCTATATACCCAGCAGAAAGTGTTTGAATTTGATAATAAAGCGAGCAAATGTCTGGCATACTTTACAAGACCTGAATATAACCCTACTTCCATTTCCCACATTGTTTCCTCCACTGGACGTGTTCTCACTGCTTCACAGTACACCATGGAGGCCTTTTTGTCCTTCTATGAAGATCTTTACACCTCCAGAGCCATGTACACTGATGATTTTTTTAGAGGCATATCTATCTCAGGTTTCCTTGCCGTGCTTATTCCCTCAGGCTAGGGAGGAGATGGACTTGCCGCCTACTACTGATGAGATGGTGACAGTGCTCTCCCAGTTCCCTGCCAAGAAAACACCGGGCCTGGATGGGTTTCCGGTTGAAATGGTACACTTCTTATGGTGAGGAGTTGAAACCGCATCTGCTAGCTGTTAATAATAAGGCATTTGATATGGGCATTCTTCACCCCTCTATGCGTGAGGCCCTTATCGTTCCGATTTTGAAATCTACTAAATGCAATTCCTATTGCCCCATCTCCCTGATCAATGTTGATGCCAAGATTTTGGCTAAGATCCTGGTTATGCGTATTAATAAACGCATCTTGTCTTGGTCAACAGTGATCGGGCGCGTTTTATGCCAGGCTGCTGAACCAGAACATTCATAGACTATTTACTAAACCTTTAATTCTCCAATCCCACTGTGGAGGGTAGGACCTTGGTCTCCCTAGACACACAAGACTTTTAACAGTGTTAAATGGCCGTATTTGTTGAAGTTGCTGCACCTTTTTGGGTTTGCTCCCTGTATGATAAATGGGTTGAGATTCTTTACAACTCCCTGGTGGATAGATTACGGGTTAATAAAGATGCATCTACTCCCTTTTATATTTCAAGGGGAACTAGACAGGGCTGCCCCATTGCACCTATCTTGTTTGCTCTGCAAAATGAACTGCTGGCAGCCTGTATACGGGAATTCACTTTATTATGTGGTCTGTCAGTGCAGGGCCTAGATGAGCGTATATCCTTGTATGCCGATGATACACTGATTTACTTATCTGACCCGAATGGCTCCCTGGCTCATCTACTTTAATTACTAGAGACATTCGGGTACTATTCGTGCTTTAAAGTTAATTGGGACAAGTCTGTTCTTTTTCCATTAAATACTAATACCATAGCTCATGTCCATCCCACGTCTAAACTGAGAGTGGCTCACAAATGTAACTATTAGGGGTCAAGGTTCAACTCCCTCTCTCCTCTTATATTGAGAATAATTTAGTCCCCGTGATCTAATCCCTTCAATTGAAGACTAAACAGTGATAGGATTTACCCTTAGATCTTATGGGAAGGATCAAAATTAAAATGATTTTTTTGCCTAAACTTTTGTATACCATGGCTAAATCTCCGTGTGGCATCCCACAAAAGGTATTTCTGTGAAATTAACTATCAGTATTAGGTTTCTAAGTCAGAGACGTAGTCCTCGAGTGGCTCTGGAGGTGTTACAGCTTCCGCGTTGTTTGGCGGGTCTGGCCTTCCCTAATTTCCTTGTCTACTATCTGGCCACTCAGTTGGTGGTGATCCATGATTAGCGACTCCCTCAGGTGGGAAACGCCTGTACAGCAACTGAGGCTGCCATACTGACTTCCTTTGAATTGCTTCA